TTATTTTGTGAGGTTTAATTAGCAGTTATACCTTGTCTTGTGTAGCTAGCACAGTCTTATGTAAACTAATATCCCCATCTGCTCCAATGGGATCAGCTATTAATAAACAGACGGAGTCAGCCCAGATGTTCCCCAGTTGAGAACATGAAGATCCCTCTGTGTAATTCCTACTTTTGTCCTGAAAATTGTCCCAGAATTTAGGATTTACAGACAGCTGAACCGAAAAGCTCAGAGACAGCGAGGGAGAGCGCACCCGTAAACACTTTGATTGTTTGATTGTTGGAGGGTTTTACGGTTACTTTGGACTCACCTGTAGTGTTTCCCCTGCGGCGGTACAGCCCAGCTGATGGTCAGAGCGTGAACCTTCCTCACAGGAACCACTGGAACACACATTCATGTATCAGTGTTAAAATAATCCTCTTAAATATTATAATAATAATAATAATTTAAACCTTATTCGTGCAATACAGAAAATGTTCAGTTGAGTAAATGAGGTGTTACAGCGGCACAAGCAACAGATAATAACATAGAAAGTAAATAATATAAGAAATGTACATTTAAATACACATATTTCATATTAAAATATAATGTTATATGAGTCTTTAAACATATGATACATATACAGAAACACCACCACAGTACACACAGTCTCTGACCTCTGTAGAGTTTGTTGAAGGCCGGTGTGTCAAACGGCTGCTGGAGGTCGGAGAAGTCGACTCGAGGTTCACCGCTGCACACAAAACATCAATCATTAGTTCACCTGATCAGTCTTTGTGCGATTATCATTATTGATCTATGTTGACCCTTTATTAATTGTAACAGGGACGAGCCGGAGAGAAGCGACCGATCTGATAGTGTAATTATTATTTATTGATTATTATTATTTTACATTTTACAGTCTAACTATGAAACGGTGACTGAACGATGTTCTGAACTGCAGTTTCTTGTTATGTTTGTGTGTCTTACTTGTTGGGGACTTTGATGAAGATCTCTCTCACCCACTGCTCCAGAGTGTCCAGAGTCTCTAAACAACAACAAAAACACATTTTCACATATGGTAGCTGTGAAGCTGCTTTAAAAAGAGAAGAGAAGGCGGACGTGTTGCGATTGTCTCCGTGCGAGTACCTTTGGACTGAACGGCGAGCGTCATGTAATGAGCGGAGTAATATCTCCTCCAGAAGTGTCTGAGCCGCTGGTAGGTGTTGATCTGTTTCTCTCTGGGCTCGTGCTTTAGTGTCTGAGCGTTACCTGACGGGAGCACATGTTCAACAGTGACACCATGAAGACATCGTCCCTTTCCAGGTCCATAAAAACCATTTACAACGAAATGTGTCACAACTTACATCACTGGAAAAACCTTGTTGGTTTTTTTGTGGCCTGTAAATGTTGTTTACCTCAGAAGTCCAAAGTTAGACATCACACCGACCACAACCAAGCTCCAGCCAGGTTAGCTGTTAGCCTGTGTGTGTGTGTGTGTGTGTGTGTGTGTTGTTCTTACCCCAGCAGAATTTGCTCATAGGGTGTCCTGGTTTAGCCAGACTCCCAAACAGCATCTCCTTCCGGTGTGAGTCAGACGGCCTCGCTAACTGGTACTCTGAACAGGAAACGAGAGCAACAACTATTAAAAGTCTGCTGGTTCGTTCAGACCACAATATAAAATCACTGTTTTAGTGAAAGGAGTCTGGTGGCTGTGGAGAGACAGCGACACACAGAGGTATCGAACTCACCGCTGTCCACAGCCTCCACCTCCCTGTCGATGGCGTCCTCTATCATCAGAGGACAGATGAAGAACTGAGCCCACCTGGAACACAAACACACAGTTACAAACTGTAGACGGTACAACGAGGGTTCAGTAGATAGTTACCGGCTGTCAGTACAAACACAATATATATATACAGAGAAAAGTGGACAGAAACAGAAAATGGAACAAAAATTACATCAACTATTGTTGGGATGAATGATAAGTCCACAAAATTATTTATCACAAAACTATTCTGGTTCCAGTTTGGCTCTTTTCAGTGACCACCTGGATCTCACTTCTATGTTCATTATTACTGTCAGCAGCCCTGCAGGAGAGACGCTCTGTGGTGCATTGTGGGATTTTATGAGTGGACTTTAAGAGCAGGAAACACTCTTCTATTGTCTCGACTGTGTTCACAGCGTTAATGAGAAAGTAAAAGTGTAGTAGAGTGTCTCAGCTGCCGGGCTCCAGCCAACACACTGGGACAAACATAATAAAAAAATAATTAATTAATGTATGACGTTAAATTTACAACAAGGTCCAAAAAAGGAAGAATTTGTCGTAAATAATGTTTCAAACATTTAAAAAGTTTCTCTTCACTCAATAACTCCCAAAATGTTGAGATTCTTTACGGAAGTCAACAAACATTTGCTGCGTATCTTTACAGGTAAGAATGCACAAACATTAAATTAAATTATATACATTTCTGTGTACAAGACGTCAGTTATGCGGTTGTCATTGTGGACGAGGACGTGTTAGCACATACGTGGGTAATTGTTTAAAAGATGAGTAAAACATTGGTTAGTCGCAGTCCTGCTGTAAAGGAACGACCTCGTTAGCTTCACGTTTCCTCCTGCAGAGGAACCTTTTGGCAGATGTCACTGCAGAACAAACTGCAGGTGTCTCCTCGTTTCCAGTCCTCTGCCTGCCGGTACGTCAGTCGGCCTGTTGAGTGCTCGCGGTGATCTTTAATGAACCGGTTGACCTCCCATCAGAGAGCCAGATGGCCCTCAAAGAGCTGCCATCAACACACACACGAGATACTGGCCTTCATGACAGGGGGGACGCCCGAAAACCTCATGTTCTGACAGGAAACAACTGCGTACCGGCCTGTGGTTCACGCCGCCACAGTCTTAGGACAGGAAAACAAGGAACCGTGGTTGGGCGTCTCCCTGGTGAAGGGAACGGGGAGGGTTTGAAGCCTCACCTGTCGAGCGCCTCTCTGAAATATTTCCTCTGAACGTCGAACTGGAAGATGGTCCTCTCGCAGTCGGTGGAGGCGTTGTCACTTCCGCCATGTTTCTTCAGGAAGGCGTCGAAGCCGTTCTCCGCCGGGTATTTCTCACTGCCCATGAACACCACTGAACATCAGAGAGGAGGGAAAAGACATCAGGAGAAGAGACTAAGGCTTGGTTGATATATTGAACTCAATCTATTATTTAATTTTCTCTGTTGCCGTCTCGCTGCAGCATGTACACAACCTGCTTTATTTATGTGTTTACCTTTCCCTCTCTGGGTGTTTACAGTTATGTCTCTTTTCGTGAGACTGTGGAACAAACCGAATGACGATTAGGTTCATTTGAACAAGATATTTTCTCACTCCTGCAGTTTATTATTATATGAGGATGTAAAGTGATGAGTGTATGATGAAGGTAGAGCCGGCTCTCTCCTGTCGGACTCACTGTGCTCCAGGAAGTGGGCGAGGCCGGGCAGGTCGTCTGGGTCGCTGAAGCTCCCGACACTGATGCACAGAGCAGCTGCCGCCTGGAAACACACAAACAAACACACAAACACACACTTTAGAAATGTGCACTCGAATCCACTCGTGAGACCTGACCGGCGTATGACAGGGTTGCGATCACCGCGGGACTTCGGCGGCACGAAGAGAGACGACAGGAAGTGCGACTGGTCAGCTTTGACTGATGGTGGCGGTTAACGGTGACGACAACCCGACACTCAGCTGTCCGATGCTGCTCAGTGACACTCGAAGAAGAAGCATTGTTTGTATTCTCATTCTTCTGTGTAACAGTTGTTATTATTTTGGTCAATATTGTACGGAAGCAACGAGTTATTAATCTCTTCATTTGGAGAATTCAGAGAGTAAACTGAACACTTTAGACTAAAGTTTACAGGAACACTGACCTGCTTCTCTGAGCTCCCTCTCTTCTTCTTCCCCGCGTTATCCTCGTCCAGCTCATCAAAGTCGCTGTCCTGCTCTTCCTCTTCGTCTTCCTCCTCGTCCTCCTCCGACCCCTCACCCGAGTCACCTTCTTCCTCGCCTTGCTGCTCTTCCTCCCGCTCCTCCGACGCTCCCTTGTCCTCTCCGTCCTCGCCCTCCGCCTTCCCGTCCGCCCCGCTGAAGTCGGAGATGAGGAGCGCTCGCAGGCCGTTACTCAGCTCGATGTATCTGCAGAGAGAGAGAGAGAGAG